ACACACCTACACACACGCCTCAACTGTCCCTCTGGGTTCATTCTCAGACTAAATTATGTTTTTACTTTTGCTCTTGCAGTCCTCAGTGTATCAAACAAACAGGTCATCAGAATCTGCATCAGATAAAGACTTTAACTGTGCAGCCTCTCACTGTTTTACTGCTGATGGTACAACTGTAAGCAAAAATTAAAGCTGCCAGCAGCGATTATCACAGTCCGCACGCGTTTATGTTAAGACACAGTGTGGTCTACACACGATGTGCTGCCGCGGCACACAACTGCAGCGGCAGCCGTTGAATTCATTCAAGAACCAGAACGTAATTTTTTTTAACATATTTCAAAGATTCCTCCGTGTACCACTAGAGTACCGTAGTTTGTGAACCAGTGAAATAAATCCAAATCCAATGTGCAGGTTCCTCTAGTAGATAACATCAGACCAAACAAACATATTCCACTGTTCTGCTCACCTGATCAGCCAGCGACGTACTGAGCATGCTCATTAGCTCCCTCTCTGCGGTCAGCCGCCACATCTGCTCCCATCCGATTCGCCGCAGTCGCTCCAGGTAGAGAAGAATCACACCTGTAATAAAGAGCAGGGAACATGGCTTCAGCTTCCTCTGAACCACAGCTCGCTTCAAAGCTGTGCAGACTGAAACCAAAGTGTCTTTGTTCAGAGCACGTCAGTCTTTTTAAAGCAAACCGCAGCCAGTGACGATCCGTTACCTGTGTTGAAGCCTCGTCCCAGTGCAGGCCAGGGTTTATGGTTCTTCCACAAGTTCCCCAGGTACCAGTCACTCTGGTTCTCCACCAGGCCTATCACCTGTTTATCTGCACACACAGCAACAAACATCAGTGGAGAGCAAAAATCTCTTATTTGTACCAAATGTATTGAATATTTCTGCAGACTGCCACCCAGTGCCCCTCGTGTGCCTCCTGCTTAACATCATTCACAGACGAGAACAGGATTGTGAATATCTTACCGGTGAACTTCCTAAAAATGCCCCAGAGCTCAGCGATGTCGGTGGCAAAGGTGATGTCCGTGTCCAGGACGATGACCTTTGACAGGTCTGAGGGCAAAGCTTTGGTTAGCGTCAGCTTCATCAAGCCGTAAATACCTGAGTAGTGCTTGTTGGGTATCCACGACACCTCGGACTGAAACGACAAAGAAGGAAACCAATCTTTAGCAAAAACATCTGTTATTTTGAAGCAGGTAAACCATCAGCTGGCTGATGGATCTGGTGTTATTATATATGAGCTGCATTCTGTGCGTGGACTAACACAAAGCTACATTCAGAATATTTTGGCAACGGCTCAACGTGGGGTTTTTTTCTGAACCTGCAAACAGTGTCTTTTAATGAATTCTCTTGATTCAGAGTAATTGGATCTGCATAAGTGCATCATCTGCAAATATAATCGGCTTAGAGTCTCGTCTGTTTAATGTGAGTTAATGAAAACTGAAGAGAGTGACTGCAGGTCGAAGCATCCATCGGCACAAAGGACTCATTGTTCAGCACAAAGACTGTGAGGGAGGAGAATGTGATGATGTGAAGGAGGGGGATGCAGGTTGGAGACGCACACTCGTTCCTCACATTCCCGTCACTCTGAGAGCACATTCATCAGCTCCATGTTAAAATAAATGATTTGGTGTGTTTGTGCTAAAGTGTCACTTGACTTTGAGAGAAAAGTGCTGGAGCTCAGTTACAGATTGTTGAGTGAAAACCTTGTATTCAGGAGTTCGTCTGGGTTTTTAACTTTAAGGAGCACGATGTACAAATAAGAATCAGTGAGATGAAGTCTGTGATCAAGACATTATATTGCTTTTTGAAAAATCACTATATTTTCATTGTTACTGTGTCGGAGAGACGCCCATCACACCTGTACGATACAGTGATGGAACGATATACGATATCATTGTTTCATGGAAAGCTCTCTGTAACTACAACTACAGGAACCATTCTCTCAAAATACCCAAAAAGGCAATCCCGATCTACAACGCCCCCACCCATCCTCTCCACCATACGCAATAAGAACCTGTTTAAATGGGCCCCTTAGAACTTGCCTATCCCCCTCTGAATACGCTCAGATGGTTTGACTTGGACTCATTCAAAACTCCTAATCCTGCCACCCTGGCTGAAGGCTCAGCTTCCCTGTTGTATCCCCACCAAAAAAGTTAAACTGGATGTGTAGCAATAGTACAGATTGACTCACTAACTGTATCTGCCGTTAGCAGGCAACAGAACCAGGCTCAGCAGCCGGACCAAACCTGGATCGAACACCGCCTCTGAGACCGGCAGAGAATAACGTTACAGTACCAAGGTAGAACCGCTAACTGCTGTTAGCTCGGTAAGAGCTTAACAAGGTCTGTGCTGGCTCCACTCTATGCTCTGAGGTTATTTTAGAGGCTGTGATATTGTCTAATTGGACTGTACTGAAAGGTGTTTCTAACATTCTGTCCAAGCATATTAACTCAAATAGAGGTGGACAGAAATTCAGAAATCTCAGGGATGTTAATTAGTTAAATATTTGATGTGTGCTGCGACCTCCCTTTGATTCCTCCCACCTTAAATCTGGTTGTCAGTGTAAATGGAGGCTAATCTGAACATTGACCCTGCACCACATCCTGCATTAACATCCAGTTAACACCGCGGCAGCTTAAACAACCCTCTGATCTCTGTTAAAGTGACACATCGCCTGACAGACGCACAAAGACGCCGGCTGCGACCTCCTCTTTCAGGATTCGTGATGCGTGTGAACCATGCAGTCTTTGTCTTGATGTCTCTCGCTCTTTGATGCTCCGAGGTGAATCTCTTCTGTTGGAGGAGATTTATAAACACATTTAAACTCCAGAGATTTTCCCTTTGATATGCTAACTGCGCTATTTGACTTTGACTCACCTTGTCCTAACGGAGAGCGGGAAGCATGGTGCGTTTGAGACGAGGTGTGTGTGTGTGTGTGTGTTAATAGCGTCCTCTTACCTTGAGCTCATCTGCGTCGTAGAAGCTGACTTGCACAGACGGGACCATCCAGGACTGAAATAGGGAACTCAGGATGCGATTGGCTACTGTGTCTGTGATGAAATGAAAGTGAAGAGGATTTCTCCTGAAAGAGAAAGAGACAGTTGTTATCATCAGTGTCCTCATTTACCAACAACAAAAGCTGTTTTTTAATATTAAAGCTGCAGTTGATTTTGTGAAAATAACTTTTTGTCATATAATTAACCTAATTTACCCAAGTTACCTTAACAATAAGTACCTTTACTTCGAAGAAAGCCAGTGGTGTTGGTGTATTTTATTGTATTTCCATATCTGTAGCATTTAAGATACTGAAATCTGTATATTTAATAACACTATACATGTAAAAGCCCAACTAGGGACAAGAGTTGATTGCTAATGAATTAGCAATAAACAATCATCAGTTTCGTGCTCTGTACTGAACTATATTAAATCACCCTGTCAAATAAATAAATTCAATTCAAGAACATCCAGTTCATTCTAAAACCTGCAGCACATAAAGTTTAATAAAAAATAACTAAACTGTTTAAATCTTTGAAAGCATCAGTAAAAAGGAACAAATCCACGAGAGCAAAGCTGATTGAGGTCAGTGGAAATCCAGAAAACAGTAACACAGTGAGTCTGGGAAATGAGGATTAGTTTTTGTTTAAAGAGGAAATATAACCTATAAGCATGTTCTGCATTAGAAAAGTAATCTGGTTTTAATAAAATATATCTGTCTTAATAAGATATTACAGCTAATGAGCTGTGTGTTCACTGATAACACACAAATAGTGCAGTTTGTATAGTTTGTCACCCTTTGAGGTTGGAGGGGAACTGATGGTTGATGCTACAGAAAAAGGTTCATCAAAGGTCGTCCTTTTCTTTTCAATATCTCTCCATCTCTGATGGTATTCAAGGATTTTCAAGGCCTGCACAAATCCAGCTTACGGCCACGTCGGCTTCAAAGAAAGACTCAAGAAGCTGCATTTGAGACAAGTTTCTAGAGAGATAGAGGAAGAGATCAAGGAAAGGTCTGTGAAATGAACACTGTCCAGCTGGGACTCACCTGTGAAAGAGGACAGATTTAACCAGCGTGACCACGTCCCTGCTGGCATTGTGACCGGCACAAACGCATGCGACGTGGATGAGCTGCAGACACAGAAAGAGAGGACGAGTCAGTCACTTCACCCGTCTACACTTTTACACTCTGGATGCTGACAACTTTCATCACGAGTTCACAGCATCCTCCTCTCCGTCTCAGTTTTAGCAGATCGTAATGACAACATGCAACCGCAGCCATCAGTTCTCACACCTTAGTTGTGAATCTAAAAAAAATTAAGCTTGGTTTTTGGAGATAGATGATGTGGAATTTCATATTTAGCTCCTCAGATATGTATGATTTCATGTTACCCGCTTTTTCGGGAGCAGAAGTCTTTGAAAAGTTGGAGCTCAAAGGCTGGAAGCCACATCAAAGAGCGAGGGCGTTCCTCGGATTTTAGTCCCTGTCAGCTCACTCCCGGCTCCCCCATCGATTAGTCTGCTGTGATACGGTCTGGTGCAAAAACACACACCTTCCTCTGACCGTATTCCACTCCCAGGTTGTCAGATGCTGCCTCTCGGTCAGTGGCCCAAAATATGGGGCTGTAGGTATCTCAAGTCAGGTGACGTAGTACAAAGAGCGAGAATGTCCACATATGGACACTTGAATCTTTTCCTAAAGGTAACCAAGTGCTTTCTGTGCCTAAACCAAACTGCCACTGTTTTTTAAAGTTAACCCAAGCGTCAGCCTCTGTGGCTGCAAATGAAGTCAACAGCAAGAGCAGTTCCTCTAACGTCCACTAGAGGCTGGCTCCAGCAGTGAGTCAGTCTCCATAAAGCCTCATATTAAACTGTCTTTACAGCAGAAATAAACATGTTTACAGTCTTTTGGTCTCTAGAGATAATAGTTAAAATAGACAACTGTACAACTCACCTATCAGGCTTCATTCAGCTCCACCTCTTTGCCCATTTTTGACAACGACTCCAGAAGCCTTTTGGGAGGACGTCACAGAGACTACGTCTATTTCTAAATATACAGTCTATGCAGTACCCGCACAAGCTTTATTTTGGAGCTCTGCACGTCCAGAAATGACGTGAGTGGAATACATCGGATTCTGAAGCGGATGACCACTGACTGAGCGGCAGTATTTGATGAGTTAGGAGTGAGAACATCAGCACGGCTTCTATCTACTGTATAAATGTTATTCAGCGTAACCCGATAATAACACTGTCAGGTAACACTGACAACACACTCTGAAGTGACTTAACCACTTTTACTTGTGTCCTTTGGCGTATTGATACACCTGGAGGACCTGGACGTGCACTGATACACCTGGAGGACCAGGAGGTGCATTAATATACCTGGAGGACCTGGAGGTGTCCTGATACACCTGGAGGACCTGGAGGACCTGGAGGTGCATTGATACACCTGGAGGACCTGGAGGTGTCCTGATACACCTGGAGGACCAGGAG